CTTCAAGCTCCAGATGCTTTCCTCCAAATGATCAAAGCAGCATTGGTCCCAAGGTCCACCCCTGTGTGGCCAGCGCCAGGACACTGCTTTCATCATTTTGACTGGCAGAGGCCAGTGATGGGAGGCCTCTCTTTGGTTCACAGGGAAGCTTTTGAACCCAAAGCTCTGTGCGCAAAGTGACTTCCCATTGCCAACGGAGAAAGGGATACCTCTAAATCTACTGTTGCAGCTCCATGGCAGGAATCTGAGCCCCCAGGTGTCCCTAAGCAACTTGGGCAATACGTAGACCCAGAAGGTTCTCCAGAGGCAAAGGTGTTAATTCCTAGGACTATGCACAGTTCACAAATGATTCCGAAGCCGTTCACACCTCTCTCATGCACTGTTCCTCACTGCTCTTCATTAAAGCAGCTCCTCCCCTTTATTTGAGCCTAAAGAGGGAGTAGCTGTCCTGTAGGAATAAGACATCTGTTCATCTGTCTGTCTGTTACTCCATCTAGCCATCCATCCATCCATCTATCCAGCCATCCATCCTGCAACAATATATTCTCTGCACCAATTAGGCTGTACATATGTATGTATAGATAGTATGTGCACGCGTGCACACACACACACAAACACATAGTGTAGTATACATACATAAACATGCCCATGCATATACACAAGCATGTGCAGTACATACATGAATGTAAAACCAAGAGACCCTGAGACAGTCTGCCTTGCAGTATAACATCAAACTGCCTTGCAAGTAAACTTCAAGAGTAATTTTGCCACTGACCAAGAGGTACTCATTGGCAGAGCTGCAGGCAAATCCTAGATCTGTCCTGCAAGCTGGCTCTTGCATCTACAGTTGCACTCATACACGGTCGGCACAAGATCATCTAACTAATGTACAATGGGTGAGGCTGGTGAAATCAACAAGCTATAGCCAAGTTGGGCAGGTAGAAAGTCAGCAACTCATGCCAGGAAGAGAAATCCAGTTGACTTCTGAGTCCAAGTATGGTTCAGCTTGTCTACACCCTCTACAAACAGTGTAAGAATTTCTCACAAATGAAGGCGAATAGACGTGTCCCAGGATAATGTCGCAGGATCCAATCTGGGTTGGTCTCCCAGACCAGAAGTTTAGTCTACTACTCTGCTATTAAGATTGTTGGCTGAGCAGGCACAAAAACAGCCAGGGAAGTGATTGAAACCTGGGAAACGGGCCCCTCATCACTCAACGTGCTGATTTGCCACCAGCTTATCAAATACTTAGCAGGCGAGGGCTGGGCAGCACAAGAAAATAACAGTCAACAACTTAATAACCAGCCATCAACACCCCAATCAATATCTAAAAAGCCCACAAATCAGGCACCATATAAATAGCACACACAGAACAGTCCAAAGCACACACCCCAGTTAGGAGAAGTTCCCTAAGGATGGACTCCAGCACAAATCCAAAAGCTCGGAAGACTAAATCTCTGGTCCCAGTGACCCACCCAGATCCTGTAAGAATTTCTCCCTAGGCTTTGCCGTGGTCCTGAGTCAGCAGCATAGAAATACCACCAAAAAACCAAACAAACAAATTGTTTATAAATTCATTTGTAGATTTGAGTGCTCTGTAGAGCTGGAGCACTACATTTTTTTTTCTGGGACAGATGCTCCAATCGCACATTTGAGTTGGATGCTGCGGGAGGCACAGTCAGGCCACGGTAAAAATAAAACATTATTTACAGTTTGGGGGCCTTTAATGAAAGCAAAAACTTGAAAAAAAAACAATCTCTTAATCACATTCGGTACTGCAATTCGATATCACTTTTGGGGGGATCTTTGAGGGCCCCACCATGTGTTTGAGTGGGAGTGAGTCCTTATGAATGTGCATTTATTTCACGGAGGCAGAACGGTTAGTTCAAAGTTTGAGTTAGGACTCTTCGCTCAAAGCCACGTTCAACCATGGGAGCCCAATGATGGAATGACCCTAGACAGTCACATCGTCTCAGCCCAACTGACTTCAGAAGGTTGTCCTTGAGGAGATAAAATGAAGGGTGATCCCCTCTTAACCAGCTTGAGTTCTGGAAGAAAGGCAGGCTCTAAAGCAGTGGTTCTCAACCTGTGGGTCGGGACCCCATTTGGGGTCGAATGACCATTTCACGAGGGTCGCCAAACAAGGCTGTCCGCCATTTTTTCCCCTTTTCTTTGGCCACGCCCCTGGCACCTGGTGATATATAAGTGGTTGGGAGTCACCACAACATGGGGAACTGTATTATGGGGTCGCAGCATTAGAAAGGTTGAGAACCACTGCTCTAAAGAAACGAATAAAATACATCAAATACTTAGACAGAACTTCTACTCCATAATTATTCATGTTGCTGAATTTATCCTTTTCAAGATTTGCAGAATATACTGAATGACTAATGAAATATGTCATCATGTGCTAAGACAGCTGAGCCTAAAAGGAGGGAGAAGCCTAACCATGTTTTTTTTTTAAAAGCTAAGCAATAGCACTTAGCACTTAGACTTATATACCGCTTCAAAGAGCCTTACAGCCCTCTCTAAGCGATCTACAGAGTCACCCTGTTGCTCCCAACAATCTAGGTCCTCATTTTATCAACCTTGGAAAGATGGAAGGTTGAGTCAACTTTGAGCCGGTGAGAATCGAACTGCTGGCAGTCAGCAGAATTAGCCTGCAATATTGCATTCTAACCATTGCACTCCCAGTTATGCAATATTGTGCAAACACTGTTTGATAGTCCCCCGCAGTAGAATCTGGGGACTATCTTTGGGCTAGACCAACTGCATCCAGCCCATGAGCCGTGAGAGGCCTGTGGCCTTAAACAACTAGTTCCACAAGATCATAAACATTTAACATTATTATTTGATTTGTGTACATTAACTATATTATATATATTTATATGCAGCTCAAGACCATTCCTCTTCACTCAATGCGACTGAAGCGAGCCAAAATACGGGACATCCATAATTTAGAGCTTCACTTGAGATCAATAAGAGATAAGGAAAAATGAACTTGTGTAAACCACTGTGAGCTTCTTCAGGGCCCACAAGATGTAAATTTAATAAATAAATGTGGGAAAGGCATCCACAAGATGCACCTATCAAATTTCTGAAGGTGAAGGAAAGTGGCAAGTTTAATATCAACCCCCCCCCCCCGCAAAAAGCTATTTTAGGCAGGCAGGTTGTGACACCAAAGTTTATGGTGATGTCCGGAAAACTGTGTTTTGTGTTGTTGATTGTAATGGAGGACAGCACATGTACAGAAAGCAGCTTTTTGTGCCCAATGGCTCAAGTAATCTCACACTTTTTTTTTTCCTGCGGCCCATTTAGTCATCCTCACAGATTTTGTTCAGTCTGCATTTCTAAGAGAAATGAGCTGATCTGCATCATCTGAAAATATTACAACAATAGCCAGGTTGTGATTCTGCCAACTGGACACTTATTTTTGGATTTTGCACAGCACTTTTCAGCCAAAAAAAAAAAAAAGGCTCAACACTACATGTAAAATGTTAATATGGATAAAAGGCATTTAACGGGGCCACTAGAGAAAGAAAATGAATTTATCAACATGCTTTTTGCAAGAAGTGAAACATGATAGTACACGAAGGGCAGAATACATAAATAAGAATGAGGAAATAGTTATAGGTCCTCTTGTTAATGCTATCGGTGTTGGATTATTAAACCAAAACATGATCAACAGATTTATGAGGATATTGACCTCTTTATTCAAAAAAAGTTGCTAATAGAACAGTCCAGGTGGAACACACACCCCATACACCCACACACATGTGAATGCATTTTCCCTTTGTGGGTTTTACAAATGCCTGTAAAATAGGCAAGAAAGATGGGATCTTGATTATCTAATTCATGAGGACAAAAGTTCACCAGCTAAATCACCTTGGTGATGTTAAGCTCTGGGGACTCAACTCTCAGAATTCTATAGCTGGCTACGGAATTCTGGGATTTGAAGTCCACAGATCTTCAAGTTGCCAGCCATGATCCTACGTGCCATCCCTTTGCTGAGATTTCACTGCTCTGTCCTAAATCTTCCTATCTCCAAGAGGTGGTCCCACCGTCGTTGTGTAGTTGCTATTGGTATCCTTGCTATTAATGAAGAATGAACTCTGCAGATTTCTACATTAAAAAGGATCAAGGCTGGAGTTTGGACAATCTGAGACACAAAATGAACTGAATCCATTGGCGAATCAATGTTAGTCCGTTAGTTAATCAGGACTTAGGTCACGAACCCTTGTATGGGCCAATGATGATTTATCAGGTGACACAGTTTTGATACAGGTAGTCCTTGATTTACGTCCACGACTGAGCCCCAACTTTCTGTTTCTAAGCAAAGCAATTGTAGAGTTTTAACCCATTTTACGGCCTTTCTCACCAATGTTACTAAATGAATCGCTGCAGTTGTTAAGTGAGTAACACGGATATGAAGGGATTCTGGCTTCCCCATTGACTTGGCAAAAGGTGATCACATGACCTTGGGTCCCAGCAATGGTCATAAATACAAGTCATTTGCCAAGCGTATGAATGTTGAGAAGTCAGTTTTCTCCCATTGCACGACCTTTCTTGCCACACTCATTATGGGAATCCAGCTTCCCCACTGACTTGGCTTGTCTGAAGGTGGCAAAAGAGGATCATGCCACCTTCCCCCCTCCCCCCCGGGGACGCTGCAACCGTCATAAATACATGCCAGTTGCCAAGCATCTGAATGTTGGTCAGCTGACCTCGGGGAACACTCCTGCAGCTGTAAGTGTGAAGAAGGGGTTGCTTTTTTCAGCGCCGCTGTAACTTCAAAACGGTCACTAAGGGAATAGTCAAGGATTACCTGTAGTGTGTTCATGAAATTGGTGCAATGGCCGAGAGATGGTGCCAAACCCACCCCCACCCCAAGAAGGTAGCAAAAAAATAAAATAAATAAAAAATAAATAAAAATGCAGATCTGGTTATGGCAAAAAAAAAGTGGAAGTCAAACACCCACCCCTCAAATTGCTTTGTTTCAGAATGCTTTTGCACCCCTGAGTGATGTCAAGAACAGAAGCCATGCTGACGATGTCGGTCTCGTTCTTTCTTCATTGCAGGCTAGTATATACCGAGGGGGATACAGCCGTTTTGCTCCATACTAAATGACAAAAAAAAAAAAAAAAAAAAAACACAAACCCTCCCCAAATGGGGATCAAATGGAAGCTTTCAAAGGCCTGGGAATGGCAATACATGCAGCAATGCATCATTTTAGCAACTCTAAAAAAAAAAAAATACAAACAAACAAATAAGTAAAATAAACCACTACATTAAAAAAAAAAGAGGAGAAAAAAAATATCTACATTTTTTTATCTTATACCTCAGATATTTTGTTCTGTGTATTTTAATATTGTGGGTCTTTTAATTTCTGAAGGTTACCTAGTTTGCTGGCTGTAGAAGGTATTTATTATTATTATTATGAATTAATTAATTATTATAATTATAATTATTATTATTTTCATTGTGGTTGAACTAGAAAGCTGCTAGAAACAAATTTGTCCAGGGGGGCCACCATCAAAAGTTCTATATCATGTAAATGAATTATATATGCTGAATATTACGCTGTTGGGATTCCTCACTTGTTTTGTAAGAGTGTATGTGATATCATGATTTATTTTTTTTTCTGCATAAGACATTGATTTTTATTTTTAAAAGGGGTGTGTGGGGGGAGAGAAAGAGAGAGAGAGAGAGAAAGAGAGAGAGAGAAAGAGAGAGAGAGAGAGACCAAGAAGGTGGAAATGGGGTTCCACTTAATTAACTATAAAATAGGGGATCCCCCCAAAGGCACCTTATAATTCTATATCAGCTGTCTTAAATTATTCACTGTTTCTTCAAAGCCAAAGGTTATGTTGTTAATTCTGAGTTGGGGTGGGGGAGGGAGGGGGAAAAAGTTACAAGAAGGGTGCTTGAACTGACATCTGTACATAATATCTTATTAAAAGCTGTGGAAGGGCAAGCTTTTAATGCATTCCATCAGGCAGCATTTAGCTCCAATCGTAACTAGCTGTTTAGGCAAAAAAAAAAAAAGAACAAAAGCAAAAACACACACACAAAAAAAAAAAAAACAAAAATAAAAAAACCTAATGTATATGTAAAAAGAAAACAAAACATAAAATTAAGTAAATAAGGAGAGTTACCTGCTCGTTAGACCATAAACAAGCATTCTTTTTTATATTTCTTCCAGTATAATAAATTATTGATATCATTGCAGAACTTTTATATATTACGGGAGAATTAAAAATAAAAATAATAAAAAGAGGTGATAAAGCACTGTTTCTATTTTTTTTTCTTTTTTTCCAAAAAAAAAACAAAAAAAGAAAGTAATAAAAAAGTTAAAATTCTTTATACCGGTTTTAAAAAAAAAAAGAAGTGTATAAAATTTACATCTGTGAAGTAGAATTATTCAGTTTGAGAAATTTACACATTGACAATGTTTTAGATTTTAAACCCAGTAGATTATTCTTTGTTAGAGAGAGATAAAACACACACACATACACACACGCTCACCCATTCTCATTTTTTCATGCTACTTCTAGTCCGGATTTATAGACGCATTTACAAATCCTGCAATCAATGAGCATTGATAACCATGCCCTTCTCATCCATTTGGTATTTTTTGAACAACGTTGTATCATGTAAACAAACTGCAATTCTTCAAAGGGCTCCCACTTCTGATTTCAAACCCAAGGCCTCTTTGATTGTTCACTAAAGTCCATGAAGAATATATTAGGTCCTCCTAACAGATGCCCATCCGGTGCGTTTTTTCCAATTTGCAACAAAGACATAATGCCAAAACCGCAGACTCCGACACCAGTGATCCAAAATTGCAGTTTGTCTGTGCATATGTTGTTACCTATTATTCTAAGTTGGAGTGTTTATCAGGGTTTCTTTCAGTTGTTTTTTTTTTTGTTTTGTTTTGTTTTGTGTGTGTCTGTGTGTGTGTGTGAGAGAGATTTTAAAGACATTAAAAGCAGAACAACTGTACCGCTTACAGTTTTGTTGAAGATATTTATATATTCACGTGTGCTGTGCAGGATGGAAAAAAAAAGGGCCTTCAGTTAACAATTATGAATTCACCCACTGCTTGTGAACTTGCCAACTTGCTATAAGCAATTCTGCTGTTTTAAGAAGTGTTTGTGATCAGGCTTTTTTCCTCTTTGTCATCGTTAACATGCATGCAATATGAACTGTTGAACGATAACCATCAATAAAGTTTCACCAGATTTGAAAACCAGATTTCTGGAGCATTTTTATCAGTTTTGACTCAGTTCAGGGTTGAGTGCAGCAAAGGAGAGCTAGGGGAAAAAAAAAAAAGTGGGAGGACCCATACAAAATCCCCATTGAATGATACTAAGAATCATTTTTTTTTTTTGTATTTTAAAGACATTAAAAGCAGAACAACTGTGCCCCTATGGTTTTGTTGAAGATAGTTATATACTATCTTCAACAAAGATAGGACGAGGCTTTTAAGTGGCCGTGTTTTATTCCTGAGATTATAGAGCATTATTTTTGGAAATTCAGGTACCAATTGGAAATTCAAGTGTTCTTCCCCATGTCTACAGTCTTGGCAGACTTCCCCCAGTCTCAATAAATCAAAATCTGTTCATATCAAATGCTCAGTTATGGGGAATTATCCAACTATCCAAATCCATACGCATAGATGACATCCTTCCAGACCTCTTCTTTACTGTTTGCAAGAGGCTTCCGTGAATTAATCCATGGAATTATTGGAGGGATATGTTGAGGGAATGTCCCTCAATTATCCTTCTGGTGCAATTTCTCCAACCCCGAGTGCAAAACTTTAATGCATATCAAGAAGGACTACCATGTCATTTCTCAGTTTCTCTTGAGTTCCTAGAGAGAAATGTAGGGTGTTTTTTTTTTTTTTTTCCTAAGCTCTCTTTTTATCTGCATTGCAGTAGCGAAGGAAGTGTGAATGTTTAGGATCGAAGTGGCCATTTGTTATGTGAACTTTTAAACACCGTGGGAAAATCTAGCACAGGATATTACAGTTTCTGAGTTCAGAAACCGAGGATGCATACAGACGTACCTTTCCACTGGACTCTGCTTCCATGTCTCCTACGAAGCAAGCCAGCTTTTTTTCCAATTTTGCAACAATGCTTTTAGCCCGATAGATTTAGCTACTCTCTGAATATTGAATAACCGTCTCTTCCTCCTCTTTTTCAATGCAGCAACTTTGTCCATTTGTTCTTTATTTTATTTTAAAAAAGAGAAATCTCTATATTAATACTTACAGGGTAGAAGGGTTTGTGATTTCACATCTCCCAGCCAATAGTGCTGTGCACAATTGCTTCTGCTACAAACTTGTAGAACTGCTTTCTTTAATTTAAAAGAGAGAAAGAGAGAGAGAGATATTCCCAGATTCCCAGACTTGGGAATGTGTGTTATTCTAATCCTGGGCAATGCAGTAGGGATAATTCCATTGTGATTCAATTGCTTGAAAAAAAAATGCACGTCTGTATGCACTCGGAAACACTTTTTAAAAAAAAGAAAGAAAGAAAACAAAAACAAAAACTTACTGTGAAATAAATATTTATTTTCTTACAGAAATTCTGTTTTCACACATAAATCTCCTGATGTTTTAAGTGATAAGTCAATGTGTCATTTTGGTTTGAATAAAGTGGCTGTTTCATTTGGTGCAACCCTTAGTTTTAAAAAGAAAAGAAAATCTGATGTTTATTCTTGCACACAAATGAGGTTGCCACACACTGTTGGAAAATATTTTTGTGGAAAAAAAAAAAAACTAACTTAGAACACTCCAATCATTCATTTTATTCAAATGTATGTCTGATATAAGGGAATGTTTTTTTTCTGGTTATATAAATTATTACTGATTATATGAATACTGATTTTAAACAAAAATAACTGATTAATACCATATGTAGAATATTGTGACTTCAAAACAACTACAGATCTTTAAACCCGACAAGTTGTGTATATCTGTCTTTAGAAATTAGTGTTTATATCACTACAGTGATTTGTGAATAAAGGAAAAACAAACGGTTTGTAATATTAAAAATAAAAGCTTAGTCTGAAATGGTGTAAATAAAATGTGAATCCAAAGTTGTGTTCTTTTTAATCTTTTTTTTAAAAAAAAAATATTTACTTCGCAGGCTACAGGCCCTTATGTTTATGTTCACTATCTTTTCACAAAGAATTGGAAGGAAGAAATAGCATAAATGGCTGGAGATCGCTTGCCGCCATTACCCTCACGAAGAGTAGGTAGGATCTCAGTCTTAATACAGGTAGTCCGCAACTTACACCAGTTCATTTAGTGATCATTCAAAGCTACAACGGCACTGAAAAAAGGTGACTTATGACCTTTTTTTCACACTTATAACTGTTGCAGGATCCCCACGGGCACGTGATCTCAATTCAGACGCTTGGCAACTGAGTCGTATTTATGGCAGTTGCAGTGTCCTGGGATCATGTGTTCCCCTTTTGTGACTTTCTAGCAAGCAAAATCAGTGGGGAAGCCTGGCTCACTTCACAACTGTGTTACTGACTTAACAATGGCAATGATTCACTTAACAACTGTGAAAAGAAAGGTCGTAACACGGGGAAAAACTCACTTAACAAACATCTCACTTAGCAACAGAGAATTTGGGCTCAATTATGGGTGTTGGTCGAGGACTACCTGTATGGATAGTGAGGAGGCAAAAGGGAAGTTGTGTAGTGTGTGTAAAGCTTGGGAGAATAGAAAGAAATTGCCTCAGTTTCTATTACAAGGAGAATTACATGGATTTCTTTCCCGTTCCTAATCCAAATGGGGCTGTCACAAACGCGGCCTTATCATTCACTGTTTATTTATATATCCTCTCCCATAAAATAGCCCAACACGATTTACAATCAAATTTAAAAAATAAAATAAAAAAAGAAACAATGTGCTAAAGGAGCTAACGTAAAATGCATTTTATTAAAAATGAATGGGAAGGAATGGGATTTTAGAAATTGTCATGCAGAGCAGTCTGGATGGAAGGAGGAAAAAAAAAGCCTTCAGCACGTGCCTAATACTAGGTTATTTTTTAATTTAAAACTTCTATTGATTAATTTCCTTAAAATATTTATTAGGCCCGTAAAGCTGGGGAGGATCCATTTTATCCTGCATTGCACCTTTTCGATCTGCACAGGTCCAGGCGTTATTATCTTATATTTCATACAGACAACTCAAAGTGGTTCACAAATGAGAACATTTTCTCTATTTGGGTGGCCAGCCTAGGACTCGGTAGTAAATTCCCATTTCCCTCCAACTTTGCACTCAGCTCATCTTGGCTGCTCGATTCAAGCTTGGCAGAACTGCCTCCAACATAAACACAGCAGAGTTAGAGAAGGTGCTTTATTGCAAATTAGAAAGAAGCCAGCTGGAAAAGTGGATGGCGTTCTGTCAGCAAGCAGGCACGTTTCCTTCTTGTACCTACTGTGCTTTCAAGCCACCGCCGCTGCTGCTTCTCACCCTTCCCTGTTTTCCGCAGGCTCTCCGCCCCACATTTCATGACCTTGAAGGGGAGAATGGTGGGTTGTTGACAGACAGTGACACTGCTGTCCTGAGAACCATGGGATCTCAGCTTGCCTGCCCCCCACCCCACCCACGTCTTCAGATGTTTCTCCCTCAATGTGCAGCTTCCCTTAAATCCAAAAATATAAAGATAGATAAGACAATCTTTATTGTCAGTTTTTTTCTGTGAACACACTGGCACGCATTAAAAAATGAAATTCTGATGCCTGCTCTTAATATGTGTGTGTGTGTGTGTGTGTGTGTTTGTATATGTGTGTATATGTATGTGTATATATATATATATATGTATGTGTGTGTATGTGTGTATGTGCGTATGTATGTATATATATGTATATATGTGTGTATATGCATGTGTGTGTATATATATATATATACTCATACTTGTTTTCTGAGGTTTTCGCGGGTATTTGTATGTAGGTCTTTGGTTGTTCGGGTTTTCTCCCGCGTAAAATTGGAAGTGTCTTGGCGACGTTTCGACGAAGTCCCATTCGTCATCTTCAGGCTGGTGTTTTCAGCTTCGTGCTTTGAGCAGCAATGTGTGGTCTTAGCTATTTCTTCCTTTTACCCCCACTGGCAGTTAAAAGGAAGAAACAGCTAAGACCACACATTGCTCCTCGAAGCACGAAGCTGAAAACACCAGCCTGAAGATGACGAATGGGACTTCGTCGAAACGTCGCGAAGACACTTCCAATTTTACGCAGGAGAAAACCCGAACAACCAAAGACCTACATATACACATACATATATACACACACATACAAATACATGCATACACACACATATATATATGCTATATCTATATCTACACACACACACACATACACACACACACATATATATATACTATAGTATATATCAGTAGTGGTTAACCTATGGCACGGGTGCCAGAGGCGGCACTCTCTGTGGCCTTCAGCTGGGTTTTATAAAAACCTTTTCGCTTTAGGCCTCCACCGCCCTGTTCAAAAAAAAAAAAAGGTTCAATCAATCAGTCAATTTCAACTTCTCGCAGGAAAAAAAATCTTGCAAAGTTGGAATTGATTGATTGAACTTTTTAGTCCCACCCAGTCTGTTGTTACTACTGCAGCCACGCCCACCCAATGGACCACACCCAGCCAATGGGCCACACCCAGCCAATGGGCCACACCCACCCGGCACCCAACGATGCATAAATGGTTTTGGGTTGCAGTTTGGGCACTCGGTCTCTAAAAAGTTCTCCATCACTGGTATATATAGTTGATTCTATATATACGATAGTATATATAGTTGATTCTATATATATAGTTGATACCATATACTATGGCATGGCATGGCATAGCATAGCATACTATAGTATCAACCTTCTTAACCCCCAAGACTCTTTTTTTGCTACGTATTCTAAGGTCCGCAATGTATTAATCACAGGTCATTTAGAATACATAGTGGAAAAAAGAGTCTTGAGCATTAACAAGGGTGATACTATGCTATATAATACAACACTATATAGTATGGTTGATACTATATAAAAGTATATAAAAAGAAGACATCAGGAAAAAATTCTGTGGAGTTCATTTTTTTCCCCACTCAAGGGAGACTACAAAGTGATATATAGAAATGCATAACTGACAACAATATCCAACTCCAACTCACCACAGCCACGTTAGCTCAAAAACACCCTGCAAGGCAGTTCTCAAAACTTAAAAGACCCTTGAAAATAGGGTGATGGAAAGAAGCAGCTTTTTGGAACTTGGCAGACAGCTGTCATCCGAGTGTGCTACCCAGCTGAACTAAACCCTGAGAGTTCAAATTTTCAATTTGGGGCACCCGGACACTTTGAAAGTGATACCAAAGCAATGGCAATTGAAATATTTGTAAATTCTTCCAAGATTGCATGGGGGCGATGCTTTTTTGTATCTACTCAGTTGCACTAATAATCCCCCCCGGTTTCCTTCTCAGTCTTGGAAATCTGATTTTCACATTGTAGAACCTTTCATCTTTCTCAAGCTGCCTATTGCTAATGAATTTTTTATTTGTTTACTCACTGAGTCTCCCAGATATAAAAGTGACACTTAACTTGGGGGGGGGGGAGAGAGAGAGAGTGAGGGAGAGAGAGAGAGAGAGAGAGAGAGAGAGAGAGAGGGAGGGAAGGAAGTAAAGCCGAGTGGAAGAAACCTCCCTGTTAAATCAAAGCTAAGTCTTGGTTGTATCAAGCCCTTTTTAATGTACTTTTATTTCTTAAGATCTAGGTTATTATGTCCATCACAAAAGAAAAAGGAAAGAAAAAGAAAGTAAAGTGAAATAAAGTAAATAATTTGAGAGAAGGGTTCTGACTGAATATGACAAAGCCGAATTATTCATTCATTGGTCTGTCAAGACCCTGGGAGCATATTTGTGGTTCTGTGTGCCAAATAATAATAATAAAAAAACAAGCTTTGTTCTTTTAGATTTTTTTTTTTAAAAAAAAACATCTTTTGTCTGTTATCTGAAGAATTTGAGTCGGTCATTCCAAAACCTAGACAGTCTTCTGCTCTTGAATGTAGTAGGTAGTCCTCATTTAGTGACTGAGTTATTTAGGGACCATTCGTAATTATGATAGTGAGGAAAAAATAACTTTGTGACCGGTCCTTACATTTACGACCTTCCCAGGCCTGTAAAGCTAAAATAAGATCATAAGCACACTCATGATTTCACTTAGTGATCCTTCACTTGCCAACTGAGTTACTGGTTCCAACTGTGACGGCTAAACAAGGACTACCTCTACAATTTCTTGGATCAAGATCAATTAGGGACATACCAAATCTGAAATATGCATGGTCGATTTACAGTGGATGCATTTATTTATTATTATGCGGGGAAATTAGCAAACTTAGTGGATGTAGCTGTGGGTCTAAGACAACTCACCATGGCCAACTCACTATGGGACAAGAGTCATGCTAATATTGAAGAAATGGCGGAATAGAGTCCTTAAAGAAAGGATGCGAAAGGAGAGACAAAATGAAACGCGAATCACAAAAATTAAAATATTTTTTTAATTATTTTAAATAATTAAATTGAATTGTTGAATTGTCCCAACAATTGTGGCAAGTTGGCCATGGTGAGTTGCCCCATTCTGTGTAGCAAGGAAAGTCCTGGACGAAGATTAGGAAGACTCATCTTTTAGACTATCCTTTGCTATGGAAACTCACGGATGACTTTCCAAACTCTTTTTTTTTTCTTAATTTAAGAGTTACTGAAGTATAATGGCGGAGGGT